ATTTCAAGTTATTTTGCTTCAATTATTTATATTACATCTGAACTTAAAATTTGGTTGGCTAATCTTTGTGGATATGCTAGAAGGGTTGTTGATGAATAGATTAGCTATGCAATCAAAATTTCGAATTTAGTATTGGGAATAAGTTGGAGCTAGGCCAGCATTAAAGAATAATATCAGCCTACTATATTTAGAGTTGAAAATTACATTTTACAAATTTACAATACGTAAGTTTTAGTTACATGGATTTAATGTAAATTTTATATGTGATATATAGTACCAGCACTATTATTGAACTACAGTAAATTCTACATAAAGTTCACTGATCAAATCAATGTACATATGATCAACCAATTATATAAAACTATGTTACTGAAAACTTATACTGAATTTTACAAAATTATGTAAAATTATAGTAATTTTACAACTCTAACTATATTATAGCAAAATTTTCATTTGGGAAGCTTTACTTAGTACATGGGCTGCCACTTTATTAGTAAATTTTCCGGTTATTTTAGGAAAATTTTATCAATTACAACCTATTTTGTTTATAATAGTAATAACAAAAGTTACAAATTCAATAGCATGTTGGAAATAAAAATTTTATAATTGTTTACAAAATTTCTCAATAAATAATAGATAACAAATATACTCTGTATTGTTGCTAAATCTGTTATATAAAAACATTTGAATGTAGAATTAGCAATGATGATAATAATAAAGCATATATAGAAATGATTATATACCCAAAATTATTCTTCTATATAGCGGTTAGAGTATCCTTCATAAATTTTACAGCTATTATAATATTTGTCTCGACTTTTATAACAATTGCAATAATTACTATAATATCTTCTACTATCTATCAAAAATTGCTCAAAAGCTTTCAAATTTAAATGTTTTTCTTCATATTGTTTCTGTTTTTGTTTAGCCATAGACAATTCTCTATTAACAATTAATAATTGTCAAAATATATATACTGTATGTGTTTACCAATTTTTAAAGAAACAAATTGCTAACTGGCCACTAGGTCCTTGTCATTCCAATTGCTTTTTTATTTCACAAGAAATGTTGTCAAAGAATGATTTGGTCATATTATAGGTTTTAGTGAGTGGCATTAAACCATCATTATCCTTCTCTTCTGAACCAAATTCAATACTATCTATGCAATTTTCATCTTTAAGATCATGGTTAGGAGTAATCTTAACCTTTTTGGCAAGGTCTTTTTTGTTGCACTTGGTATTTGACATTTCAAAATTAAAATCTAATTGCAGAATGAGAATTCTACTAAGATAATATTTTCAGTCATGGTTTCTTCTACTGCCACGATCTTTGCTATTTTGTTGTACAAGATGGACACTTCTTTCAAGAAGTTGGTTATTGCTTAATACTAAACAATTATTACTTATAGCTATTATTAGATATACATTACATTAGTATTGAAATATCATTTTATTAAAATTCTAAAAAAAAGAAAGGCTAATTTAAAAGACCAACTCTGTACAAGGTTTATAGTTGAGCCTGCAAAATTGATATTGTAAAGTATGCCTATATAATGTATATCAGGTCTTGATATGAGACTGATCATATACCCAATATATTTAACACTGTTTATCTTTGTCTCATACTAAGAATGTTAAGATTGAAAGCAGCTTATTTTGTTGACAGAACTTCTAGATTACAGTTGGAAAAAGTACTAATTTACTGGCCTATTACACAATGCACCGTGATATGTATTAGTAAGTTTCTAATTTTACATATAGTTTGCATAATCTTCAAAATGGCTATTTTGATTATCCAAAATGTGCAAAGTATAGACTAATGATAGTAAAACTATTCACGTTTGAACATCTCTTTTACATCAGTATTCAGGTTGGAGAAATAACAAGAATCTAAAAAAAAACAATAATAAAAGAGGTTAGAAATTGGGTTTATATAAAATCTTTTTGTTTTGATTTACCTTTTTATTTATTTATTTATTTTTTTTTTAATTTTTTAATTTTCTAAATTTTCAGTTTATAAATTATTTTTTAAAAAATTTTTATTTTTTAACTTCTATTTAAGTGCTGCTAATGGAGAAGGGTACCTTGGTCTTTTAAGTATATTATTGATTATTTATCTAATTCACCTTTTTGATTGACACATATCAAGCTTTTATTAGATAGTTCAAAACTGTGTATTGTATTGCTGTATGGTATATCATGATCGATTAATTTAAAGTCAATGTGTTATTGATCAGAGAATAAATAATCAATAATATACTTGAAAAACAGAAGTGCCTTTTTCCTTGGCAGCATTCATTAATTTTTAAAAGACATTATAATTATAAGTATGTTAATTAATAAATGTCATAATTAGGAATAGGCAAATTGAACATTTTTTGAATTTACTGCACAGGATGCACAGTCTATGGCATTATGCAAGCTAACCAGGATTATGCCAACTGACCAGAATTATGCTAGCTGGACTAAGTGTTAAAAATAATAATGCACAGCCTCTCAAAAATCTGCACAATGATTTATCTCTAGTTATAGCTGATGCTAATTTTTGAAGATCTCAATTTGGATCCATTACATCTATTAAAACTCACATATATTCTTATTCTGCTCTAAATTCTAGTCTAAGCAATTCTAAAAATACTAATCTAAAAAATTTCATTAGCTAAAGATTTTGAGATTAGGTGTAATGTGAAAAATGTTCAAAAAACAATAATTACTTGTAACTTGAGCTTTTGCCTATTAAACTGTCTTTTGCATACTAATTAAAAGTTTTTCTTGCAAAATTTTAGTATAAGTACAGTTCTCTAAACCTAATCGACTAACAAAATCCTAACCTTTAATAGCAAAAGATTTTTTTTTAGCAAAATATTTTTACTGAAATCATACTAGTCTCGATAAAAAATGCATTTTTAAAAAATTATAAAATTTTGTATTAAAATAGGTTTCCAAAAGCAGAATTAGCCAAAATCAGCATTAGCTGTAACAATAAACATTTGCCAACACTAACCTAGAAATATAACATAATGATAAATATTGAAATCACACCTACCTGAAATTACTAAACAGAACATCTAAGGCTATACTTACTGGCAAGATAATCGAATCAAATAAATCAAAACGAGGTTTACTAAATATAATAATAAAATTGGTGCAATATAAAATTTTTTTAAAATGTTCAAACCTAATTTTTATTAAAAATACTAATAAATTTTGTAATATATTTCATAATCCTATAATATAATTAAAACTCAGCCACATAGTAAATAGAATTGTAATAAATAGTAAAGGCATTATTAAAAAATAAAAAATTATTAGATTAGAGGAAATAAATTTATTGCAAAAATATATTAATTAGTTTAAAATATCAAAATTACAGGTTAAGTACCTGATTCTCAGGCTAAATTTGTTAAATAACAGATCAAAAAAATTCAAAAAAGTAATTTAGCAATAGCAATATATTTGTCTTTGCACTATACAATATCTTTACAAATTATTTTCAATAGTTTGTCAGTGGTATAATGGCACATTGTTAAAAAATAAAACCAATGCAAAAATAGACTTCCTATAAGGAAGTTATATATATAAAACAAAGGTTAGTACAGGATAGAGAAATTTATTGGTTACTTCATTTTAGAAAAAAGCCCAGAAGTATTTCATTATTCTTCAAGTGCATCAAATATACCTATATAGCACCTTCTGTTCATTTAACTATTTTAAGAAATTTATGACAAATTAAGAACTTATCTTTTTTAGGTTAAAGCCTGGCAGTATTCCATTGTTTCCTTAAATGCATCGAATATAGATGCAGAGTCTCCTTACTGTTTTAAGAAATTGAAAATTTCTTCAATCTTGTCAGATGTAAATCAGTAGTATCTTCTGCCATTTATCTGTTTTTAAGAGTTTAAAATTTCTTCAAACTCATCAAATATAGATCAGTGGTATCTCCTGCTGTTTAACTGTTTTAAGAAATTGAAATTTCTGGATATAAATCAGCAGCACCACCTATATATTAAGAAATCCAATTGTAAAAAAACAAAAGTTTTAATAAAAATGATATTTAAATTTTCTTCAGATACATTGAATATAAAATTAGCTGCACAACCTATCCATTAAACTATTAAGAAAAATTTATCAATTATATCAAATATAATAAAAAGGAGTGATTTAAAACAAATTTACTTCAGATATATCCTATATCCATTATATTAATAAAGAACATTAATAAAGGACAAGTATATTTAATATAAATTCTTTTGGATGCATTGAATATAATTTGTAATACCCTGTTCGTTAAATTATTAAGAAAAAGATAATTATAAAAAATTTTTTTAAAAAAAGTAAATTTTCTTTATATGCATTGAATATAGTATTTAAGTTTTTTTTTTATCTATAACAATATAAAAATGTTTAAGAATTAAACTATATTAAAAAATGATAAAATATATTATACAGAAAAAATATAATACCTATATACATGAGTCAGATATTGTTATAACCACCTTCTGAACTTGAATAAATAGAATTGCTTTATAATTATATGAACCTTAATTGCAAATAATTAACAAAATGTATAGCTAATTGTTAGTATATTGCTTCATTTACTATAAATATAATTGAATTCTATCATAACAACCTGTAATACTAAAATATTCTATTAATCCACTCAAGATACTCATTCGATTATTTTTTTTTCTTATTTGATCTATAGTCAATAGTAACCTCTGATTTTTTTTTTGCTTTTTATTTTTTCTCTTTATTTCATTTTTTTTTTTTCTTTTTTAATCTTTCCTTTGTTCTATTTTCTTCTTTCTATTAGTCTTCTCTTTCAATCTTTCTTTTCTTTTTAATTTTTTTTTATTCTTCATTTTAATTTTTTTTTTCATGTCCTTATTAATTCTTAAAATGCAAGCTTCAAATATGTTAGAATACAACAAATTTTATATTTACAAAAAAGCAAACATGCAATACCAAAGATTTTGCAATGCCTTTGCATACAATCACATTATGAGCACCAAGGATCCTAAATATTCAAAAGATTTAGTATGCAAAGAAGCCTTTGATGCATAGAATAAAATTAAATTAAAGCCCAAAAATGAAATTGAAAATACTATTGAATATCTCATTAAAGATGCCATCTCTACTACCCAATATCTAAATCTCATCCAATATTTTAATACTGCTACTTCAACTCAAAATAAAATAACTAAGAAAATCATTGTTCCTGATACACCACTACCAAATGCTGCAGCACAGAAAAAAGTAAAAGAACTTATTATTAAAACAACTGAGAAAATTGCCAAATATCAAGAGGAATATAATTTGACAACTGATCCAGGGCCCAAATAGAGCTAATAAATCACTTACAGAACCTTAAACAAGTCCTCAATAATGAAGATAAAAAACTGCAAAGTCTAAAAAAAAATGCAAATTACCAATACAAATGTAGAAAAAAAAAAGATCAAGATTTAAATAAGCATTAGCAAGTTCTAAAATATGACTTGCCTGAGCACCCTTCTGTTTTGCACAAATATTTAGAATTATTAAAGCATATTCATGAAAGTATAGAATTCAGTGCTGATGATAGCAAGAGAAGAAAAGAAGTTATTAAAGTCCAAACAGTTAATCACTTACAGGAGGCACTAAAGTCAAAATATAATAAACATCTTTCTTGGTCTACTGTATATAATTACTTGCTACCACATTATTCAAATACAATAGAAGCAAAAAATCATTATCATCCAACTAATGTTCAGATAAGCAATATGTATTTTGATGTCTATTAGCTTTTTTTAGATTGTATATAGTACTTCACAAAACTGAATCAAATTTTGAATTTGAATCAAATATTTGAAATTATTTGACAAAATTTTAATTAATTTGATCAAATATTTGATTCAAATTCAAAATTTAGTTTGATTTTGCGAAGTACTAATTGTATATATCTATATCTATAAATGTTCATCCTTTATCTTTATATGATTTAAAAATTATACAGTCATCCTTCATTAATATTAGCCCTATTAATATCAACCTACACTATAAAATGAATTTCTATATACTAAATTATACTTATTAATACTTTCTCATATATATCAACTTTAATATATTCTCTCACTAATATTACTATCAATATGAATATAAAAGTGATTCAAATAGGTTGATATAAATGAGAGATGACTGTTAAAAAATATTTTTATTTAATATATTAAAGTATAAAAAAAAATAACATTTTAAATTATAAACTTTTTTGTAACATGTTTATACTTTTTTATTTCTAACTATTAAAAATGCTAGTTTAGGTTGCAACTGTTTTAAGAAATAAAAGAACAAAACATCAAGATGTTCATTATTGTTTTGCTTCTATAAAGGTGTTAAGACAATTTGCATTTCTATTTCTGACCTTTTCAGTAATTATATCACAAGATGATAAAGCCAAGATATCCTTTGACATTTCTGTGATCAGTAGAAGTTTTAGGACTATACAAAGTATAAATGAGCCAGTTATTGTTCTGAACTATGACTTTCCTATTGGTTCATAACAGAAACTTGTTTCATTAGTCTACTTAATCATTAATCCAAGTGACATGAATAATACACTTTGTAGCGGTCAATTATCAATCTATATTTGACCACAATATGAGCTAGAAACAAGCTCAATAACCTATATAAATAATCTAAATTTATTGGTGAATAGTAGCCATTTCAACAATATAATAAAGGTTAAAAATAAAATAAGACATATCTGGATCCTTCTCATAGATGAAGGCCCAGATAAAAATTCTTGCTACCTGAAAAATATCCTCAACTACTGTAATATGTTTTGCTTTTTTAATCTCGATTATTTAACAGTTAGGACTCATGCACCAGGTTAGTAATCTAGAATCTATTAAAATAATTTAGTTAGCTAATCAGTTTTATAAGAAAATTTCTATTTTTGCCTGGGTTAAAGTTGTCTAATCAACTATAATGTCATTTATATAACTAAAATCAATAGTATTAGTAATATTTTAAGTGACTTTAACTCAGATAAAAATAAAATTTCTCAAATTATAATTCATTAAAATAGTAATTAACTGAATTGTAATATTGATTAGTTAAAAATTAACTAGCTAATAAATATTAAATAACTGATCAGCTAAATATTAGTTTGTTATATTAATTACTTAAGGTTACTTAGCATACAATCTTGTTGAGAAGAATATGACAACTCTTTCAGGAAAACTTGTAAGCATGTTTCTGCATGTTGACCACTATAGTACCCACCTTGACTCACAGGATAATGTTGTTAACACAGAGCTAGCAAAGAAAAAATTTGAATATGCTAGTGATCTTCTCTGCAATTGGTAAAAATGAGACAATATATTCAGAAAGCCAGTTGTGACTAAATACATCAATGTAAAAAGTACCCCAGTTTTAGATAATGTATCTTGAGAATGTATAGAGATCCATACAAGGATCTGCAAATACTCGTTAGATGTAAAGAAATGTATTAACATCAAATGTTGCTCTCCTAAAAGATGCAAGAAGGTTACAAGCCTTCTTGCCTCAAATAATGATTTTTTTCCCTCTTAAACAATGGAAAAAGATGGGCATTATATTAATTCAATATATCTAGTAGAGTATTTTGACAAAAAAAAAATACCAGAGTATGACCAACTTTGTTCTTCTATGGCTGATAATTATATAAATCATCTTTGCTCTGTTTGTAGAAAGTATTGTCCAACAGTTTTAATGATTACTGCCTATAAAAAAAGCTAACTTTCAAAGGAAGTTAGTCTGACTAAACGTAAACCTAGAAGGCCAAAAAAAACTGAAACAACAGCAAAAGAAGTCTGTTTAACTAAACATGAATCTGGAAGACCAAAAAAAACTGATACAATGATAAAAAAACAAAAAACCAAATAAAATTTTTCATTCATTAATTTTTTTATTTAATAAATTTCTGTTATAATAATTTAAAATAAAGATTAATTTTAATAAAGAAAGGATAGAAAATCATAACAAAACTTTAACAAAATGTTTAGCACCTCACCTTATATTTTACCTAAAAATTCTTATTAACAAAGGTGTTAAATCTTGACTAAATAATATATATCTCTTAAAAAAACCTTTTTTATTTTATTTAGTCAATTTAGTTCTGTGATCCAGTGAAAATTTATATATTTTCTGCTATTATAAATAGTAAAATACATGCAACCCAAAGACCTTATGATCTATATCAAAATTTGGATTTTATTTATAGGATTTGAAATTTATATAAATAAATCAGATTCCTAAATCTATATATATAAAGACTTGCATAGCATAAAAGGGCAGTAAACAAAGCCTATTACTCTAATTCTACAAAAAGTTGTATTTTAAAAAAAAATTTTTTCTTTTGCCTACTGCTCCTTTTTGCTATGGAAGTTCTATATATATTATAATTTAAATTTTAATATTCCTTTAACTGCCAAACTTTACAACTTAATCTTTATATTTGCTAATATTATTCAACCTTCTGTCTATCATATCAATAAATCTGAAATTTTGTTACTCAAATCCAGTTTTAATAAAAGTACTAAGTGTAAGTACCAAGTGTGTGAACCTCTTAGTGAACACTGCAGTATTAGAGAACTAAAGACTCTATTTATTAAATATAGTTACATTGATTAGTAAAAGTATTAATTTTGCTACATATAATAACTAGTTTGGGGCTTTACCAATTAAATTGGTGCACATACCCAAGCCTCTTACTAAAAAGCAAAATCTACAGAAATAAAGAGGATTTTTATCATATTGTCATATTAGATTTGGAATTGATACGTATGAATTAGATATCAGTACAAAAGACATAGTTACATAAAATGAATTACATTGCAATAGGAATGGATGGATTGGTTTGAATCAGTTTAATATATTTTATAATATATGCAGGAGCTGCATAAATTAAACCACTCCAAACTTTCTATTCCTACATAGCAGTCATGTGAAACAGTTAGAATTTTTATAGTACTGGTATAATTTTATAACTGCTAATTATATGCACATAGACTATAATACAATCTTAGAGAAAAATAATCATTAACCATTAGTTACTATGGCATACAGGATGTTATGACAATCTTGTAAGGACAATAACTGTTAGAACCATTAGTTACTGTGCCAAATGGGGCTGTTGTAACATAATCTTGTGAGAAAAATAACTGTTAAAACTGTTAGTTACTGTGTCAAATGAGACTATTATGATATAATCTTGTAATAGTTAATCACTGCACCATATAGGACTATTAACCAACTATTTGGTAATTATGTAAGGGATTTCTAGGAGGTTTCCAAAACCTTGAGTCTGAGGAGAGGGGTATATTTACATAATAAGTGAAAGCTCCCTTAAATAGAAATAAATTTATAGCAATTTATAACTAATATTTTTTATTTATTAATGTTTTTTTACTTTTTTGTTTAAATAGTAACATATTTAACCAATTTATAACTAATATTTTGTTTACTAATTTTTCTTTCTTTTTTACTTAACTGAATATATGTTGATATTTATAATTATTATTTGTTTTCTTTTTTAAATGATTACCAAATATATGTCAATTTATAACTAATATTTGTTATTTTTTATTTATTTTTATTTTTCTTGCTTTTTTTATTTAAACAGTAGCTAAATTTATAAATTAATAATAAATTTATGCTAATTTATAACTAATATTTATTTTATTATTTTTTTCTTTAAATGATAGATGAATTAATACTAATTTATTACTAATATTTATTTTATTTTTTTCTTTTTTTTTGATTTGCAACTATTTCTTTTTTTTGAAAAATCATTTACTATAGACTGAAATCAATAATTTACATAAAATCCAAAAAGACCATGATCATAAAATTGAAATGTTACAAAACTCCTATTTTATGTTAGCCAATGATATTAGTGCATTGCAGATTTTGAGCCATTATGTATCAATAATACAGGAACAGGCTGAATAAAAAGAAAAAAATAGGGCTGAAACTTCATCAATTGTATAAAGAAGGCCTGTTTCTATGAGAGATATAGAGAAAATAGCAAAACAGTTTGTTTTTATGAATAATAAGGCTAGAAGAAAAGTACTTTGAATATATATTTAAATTATATTTAATATATTTTTATTTATTTTTTTAAAATTAAATCTAATTTTATTAATATTCAACATATATTATTGTTTTTTTTTAAAACTAATTTTATTAATATTTGATATATATATTTTTATTTTTTTTATTCAAAATTAATTTTATTATTAATAGTATGAACTTTTTGGGATTCTTAAAGAAAGAGATAGAAAATTTGTTCTTAATATTGATAAGACATAGTATGACAAAGTAATACTTGTTTGAAACTATGATTCATATACTATATAATCTTCTTTCTAAGCAATTTGGTATTAATTAAACTGAGTTGGCTAAAATGTTAAGGCAGCATTTCAAATTAAACCATAATACTAGATCTATATATCAAGATAGATTCCAAAGTATGCACTTTAATAAATGCTTGCATAAAAATTATTGAAAAAATAATGCATAAATTTTTTTTTATATATATTATAACTCAAAATTGAGCCAAATTCCTAACTAAATTTAGATTAATTTTAAGTTATAATTTACTAAATTTTAGTTTTCAAAGTTTTGATTTAATTTTACAAAAAATGTCTCAATAGGCTGCAGCATTTAAGTACCTTTATAGAAAAAAATACAAATGGATTTCTGATTATAATACAGAGGAAGTAATACAATTATTAATAAATAATAATATTTATTTATCTAAATTACAGATATCAGTCAAGAAAATAACAAAAAAGATCAAATGTATATTAATATTTATGGCTTGTCCTGGAGAATGAAAAAGATAATTTTTTTTGTTAATATTATACTAGTAAAAATTTGATAATTGATATTTAGTATGTCAAATAATATATATAACATATCATTTGATATTTAAAATTAATTAAATTTATAACAAAATTAATATTTTAAATCTTAATTTATTAATTATATAAAATTTTAATTTTTCATTTTTATATGATTATGAAATTTAATTTCATATATCTCTGTTAACTATTATATACACTGATAGTACTTTGGCTTGATAATGTTTATAATTAGACAATAAATGAAAATGAAGATGATAAAAGTAATTATAATGATAAGGATGAGAATGAGAGTGAGAATGAAAAGAAAAAAGAAGAGAAGGAAAATAGTAGTAAAAAAAAACTATAAAAGTGAAGATAGTAATAATAATAAAAACACACAAAGGTATAAAAAAAAATAGTAAAAGACTAGTTTCTGATTTTATAGAAGAATAGCAAAGAAAGTAAAGAATTTAACCTTTTTTAGAAATATCTTTTTTATAAATTTTGTATCTATTTTTTTTATTTTATTTTACTAATAAAAATATATAATTAGTAGCAAGTTTCAAATGCTTTTAATTTTTTTTTAGTTTGAAGCAGCAATCTTGTTTATATGTCTTTATTAAGTAACTATAATTATATATTTATATACAATAGTCTATTAATGAAAATACAACTAGTTATACATATAACTTTAGTTATTATTTAATTAAGGGTTTTGTTTATAGATTACTTATTAGATATCATATCTAAGATCCATTTACGAGTTCCCTTTTTAAACTTTCTAATTATCAATACTTATTATATATATATGCAATATCTATATTACTATTGTAATGACATATCAGGTTAGGGCTATCTTAGTTACTATTTATTTCAAAGTACCACCTCATTAAATGTTACTAAGTATTGTCGTTCTACTGAAAATATCAACTCTAAAATTCCCTATTCATAGGGTCAACGAAAGTCTCTCGCATAACGTCAGACGAATTAGTACTCAAAAGAGGCATTGGATTTGGGTGAGTACTAAGGGTAAGTATTTCTTTATTAGATATACTGCGAGACCTGTTTTTATTACATTATAACCACATAACTTACCCTATTAGCATTCATTGACCCAAAGTGACCGAAAGCCTTAACTGCCCACAAGCCAAATCTAACACCCTCTTTTGAAAAGGTTACTTGTTGTATATTACATGAGGTTTAGAATTTTGGAGCAACCGAGTTGCAATCTTCCGAACCCAACAATACATATATATATATAGTATGCTTTGTTTTATTTGTGTATACCAAAATCACTAACTTGGCTGTTTTAACAGTGCACCGCAAAGACTTGAAATATGTATTAACTCTTCTTATCACTATACATTATCTTGCATAATCTTCATACATAAATTGACCAATTAAAAAAAAAGATACTATAATATACTATTATAAAGTATGGACTAAAAGATCCTTTTTAGAATACCCTTTACAATTTTTAAAGATCTAAAATGTAAAGTATTCTGGGTATAAAGACAGATTAATTGTACTTGAATACTTGGGTACTAATATATAAAATATTACTGCAGCATTCATATAGTGCAACTTATACCTTCTACATATCTCTCTAACTATATTTTAGTCTATGTTAAATCAATTCAAAAAATTAATTTCTAACTATTTTTTTCAAGCAATTTATGCATCAAACTATTAGTATAATACAATTAAAAAAAAAATTTAAAAAATAATATAAAAATAAATTTTTAAACTGTCTTTATTTAATTGTATTAAACTAATCACTTGATGTATAAATTGTTTAAAGAAATAGTTGGTATGTAAGATGAATTAATTTTTTAAATACTAGTCTTTGTTAGTAAATTTAATGACTTTGCTGATCTATATATAAAATTTGTATATTAGTTTTTATTACAAAACATAGATTTGATTAATTAGTACTATATATTAGAAGTTCTACTATAATATGTTTCAATAAATGCATGTTGGAACCAAGAATTGCAATTTTATTTATCAATTTATATATATGTTAAAAGTCCATAT